GCTTTGACACTGATCCGGACGATTCTAAATCGCAAACCGGATACGTGTTTTTATTAAACGGTGGAGCTGTAAGTTGGTGCAGTTCTAAACAAAGCATCGTGGCAGGATCTACATGTGAAGCGGAGTACATAGCTGCTTCAGAAGCAGCAAATGAAGGAGTCTGGATGAAAGAGTTCATTTCCGATCTAGGTGTCATACCTAGTGCATCGGGACCAATGAAGATCTTCTGTGACAATACTGGTGCAATTGCCTTGGCAAAGGAATCCAGATTTCACAAGAGGACCAAGCACATCAAGAGACGCTTCAATTCCATCCGGGACCAAGTCTAGGTGGGAGAGATGGAGATTTGCAAGATACATACGGATCTGAATGTTGCAGACCTGTTGACTAAGCCTCTTCCACGAGCAAAACATGATCAGCACCAAGACTCCATGGGTGTTAGAATCATTACTGCGTAATCTAGATTATTGACTCTAGTGCAAGTGGGAGACTAAAGGAAATATGCCCTAGAGGCAATAATAAAGTTATTATTTATTTCCTCATATCATAATAAATGTTTATTATTCATGCTAGAATTGTATTAACCGGAAACATAATACATGTGTGAATACATAGACAAACATAACGTCACTAGTATGCCTCTACTTGACTAGCTCATTAATCAAAGATGGTTATGTTTCCTAACCATAGACATGTGTTGTCATTTGATTAACGGGATCACATCATTAGGAGAATGATGTGATTGACATGACCCATTCCGTTAGCCTAGCACTTGATTGTTTAGTATGGTGCTAATGCTTTCTTCATGACTTATACATGTTCCTGTAACTATGAGATTATGCAACTCCCGTTTACCGGAGGAACACTTTGTGTGCTACCAAACGTCACAACGTAACTGGGTGATTATAAAGGAGCTCTACAGGTGTCTCCAAAGGTACATGTTGGGTTGGCGTATTTCGAGATTTGGTTTTGTCACTCCAATTGTCGGAGAGGTATCTCTGGGCCCTCTCGGTAATGCACATCACTATAAGCCTTGCAAGCAATGTAGCTAATGAGTTAGTTACGGAATGATGCATTACGTAACGAGTAAAGAGACTTGCCGGTAACGAGATTGAACTAGGTATTGGATACCGACGATCGAATCTCGGGCAAGTAACATACCGATGACAAAGGGAACAACGTATGTTGTTATGCGGTTTGACCGATAAAGATCTTCGTAGAATATGTAGGAGCCAATATGAGCATCCAGGTTCCGCTATTGGTTATTGACCGAGAATAGTTCTAGGTCATGTCTACATAGTTCTCGAACCCGTAGGGTCCGCACGCTTAACGTTACGATGACAGTTTTATTATGAGTTTATAAGTTTTGATGTACCGAAGATTGTTCGGAGTCCCAGATGTGATCACGGACATGACGAGGAGTCTCGAAATGGTCGAGACATAAAGATTAATATATTGGAAGCCTATATTTGGATATCGGAATGGTTCCGGGTGAAATCGGGATTTTACCGGAGCACCGGGGGGTTACCGGAACCCTCCCTGGGGTTATTGGGCCTTCATGGGCCCTAAGGGAGAAGAGGAGAGGAGGCAAGAGGTGGGCTGCGCCCCCTCCCCTCCCTAGTCCGAATAGGATAAGGAGAGGGGGGCGGCGTCCCCCCTTTCCTTTCCCTTTTCCTCCTCCTTCCCCTTCTCCTTCTCCAACCAGGAAAGAAGGGAGTCCTACTCCCAGTGGGAGTAGGACTCCCCCTTGGCGCGCCCTCCTTGGCCGACCGCCCCCTCCCCCTTGGCTCCTTTATATACGGGGGCAGGGGGGCACCCTAGAACACACAAGTTGATCTTCGTGATCGTTCCTTAGCCGTGTGCGGTGCCCTCCTCCACCATATTCCACCTCGGTCATATCGTCGCGGAGTTTAGGCGAAGCCCTGCGCCGGTAGAACATCATCATCGTCACCACGCCGTCGTGCTGACGGAACTCATCCCTGACACTTTGCTGGATCGGAGTCCCGGGATCGTCATCGAGCTGAACGTGTGCTGAACTCGGAGCTGCCGTACGTTCGGTACTTGGATCGGTCGGATCGTGAAGACGTACGGCTACATCAACCGCGTTGTCATAACGCTTCCGCTTACGGTCTACGAGGGTACGTGGACAGCACTCTCCCCTCTCGTTGCTATGCATCACCATGATCTTGCATGTGCGTAGGATTTTTTTTGAAATTACTACGTTCCCCAACATAGTCGGCCTCGTAGAGGAGGCGCGCCTCGTCCTCGTGGAGAAAGCGCCGGCTGAAGTAGTTCGCTGCACGGTGTTGCCGGGGTATCGCTCAGCCATTGCTCATTGGCGAGAAGAGGGGGAGAGTTGTTTCTGCAGTGAGACGAGGCGAGTTGTGGCGACTATGGCGTTTACCGGTGGGGAGGCCGGCTTTTATAGCCGAAGCGGGGCGGTGAGAGCCTGCATGCCAGGCGACGCGTGGCGGGAGCGAGCGGGACGCGAGTCGGGGGCGCCTTCAATGCACCTCCCGTGAGGTATCAATGAAGGTTGACCGGCGCGACAGCCTTGGCATTGATTCCCGCGGGAACCGGGGCGATGAGGACGACGAAGCGACGTCTCGCTGACTCGGCGAGCTAATCCCCGTTCGCGACAAAATCGCTTTTCCTGGCGGCCCCAGGTGTCCCCCGGCGCGCTGGGTTCGTCTGCGTCCGCCGACCCCAGTTTTGACCCAAAACCAGCAAAAACGGGCTCCCGAGGACGCGACTGGCCGTTTTTGGGCGTCGGCAACAAAAAAAAGTCTGGGGCCTATTGGGGGAGGTCCTATTGCGCGCCTTCAGCGCCGCGCAAGCTAACCGGCGCGTGCAGCCGCGGCTGGATGGGCCGGCCCACAATGGCACAACGCGAAAAAAGGCGGCCGCAAAAAATGCTCTCAATCAAGATCGATCTCACGCCCTCACGCTTCCACAAAGCGAGGCTAACCACTTGACCAACCTAACTATAGTGATTCTTAAGAGCGTGAACATTTTAAAGAATAGAAACATAGACGCACTATTAATTCGCATTACACTGTAGCGTTTAGATTTTCCAATTATTTAAAAACATGTGCACATATTACAAATGAGGTTCATGCACATGCAAAAATAGTTCACCAAATAAAAAAAGTTCATGTATTCTAAATAAAGTTCACAGATTCAAAAGGTTTCATTGATTTTCAAAAAATGTCCATCGAACAATAAAATTAGTTCATCAATTTGAATAAAAAAAGTTCATCGAATATGAAAAAAAGTTCATCGATTTGAAAAAAGTTCACCGGATTTGGAAAAAGTTAATCTAAACTAAAAAAGTTCATGTATTCCAAAACAAGTTCAAAGATTCAATAGAGTTCATTGGTTTTCAAAAATGTTCATCGAACAATGAAAGTAGTTCATTGATTTGAATAAAAAAATCGTTGAATTTATAAAAAGTTCATTGGATTTGGAAAAAGTTCATCAATTTTGAAAAAAATTCATCAACGTTGAAAAAAAGTTCATCAATTTTGAGAAAAAAATTCAAAAAAGAATATAAAAGTTCATCAAATTTGAAAAAGGTTCAAGAAATTAAAAAAACAGTTCATGGATTTTGAAAACAAGTTCATCTATTTGAAGAAAATAATTACTAATTTGGAAAAAGAAAGAAGAAAAGGACAGCGAAAAAAGAAAAATAAATAAAAAAGGAAGATAGAAATGGATTGAAAACGTGTGTCTTATCACAATTAGTGAGGTAGTCAGGTTGGTTCCCCACGATCACTGATAACCAGCGACGCTGGGTTCGAATCCTAGGTCGAATGAAAGATGGGCCGGCCCACGAGATCCTGCTGCAGGCGCCGGTTAGCAAAAACAGTAGAAACCGGCGCCTGCAGCGCTAAATAGGGATTGCCGCCTATTGGGGCGCGGCTGGAGATGCTCGCTAGCGGATCCAGCGAGACGGCCCAAACGCTATAGGAGGAATATAAAAGTCGCTGGATGTGGTAGCATATGAGGAACCCTAAGCCAATCCTGCCGATCCATTCCTCCAGGGGACCGCAGGCGCCGCCATCCCCTGCGGCAACCGCCTACCCCTCCCCTCCTACGCCGCCGGCCACCACCACTCTCCCTCGCCGCCATACCGTGCGACAACACCCCATCCCACACCTGTCGTCCGGCTCCGGCCACCATCCCCTGCGACTATCCCCTAACCCACACCTGCCGTCCGCCGCCATCCCCTGAGACAACCCCCTACCCAACACCTGACGTCCGCCGCCGGATACAACTACACTCCTCCGCCACTATCCCCTGCGACAACCCCTACCCAACACCTGCCGTCCGCCACGGCCACCACGATTCTCCTCCGCTGCCATCCCCTGCCACAACCCCCTACCAAACACCTGCAGTCCGCGACCGGCTACCACGACTCTCATCCGCCGACACCCCTGCGACAGCCCCACACCGCACCCCTGCCATTCTCCGCCGGCCGGCACCGCTGTCCTTGGTTGGCACCACCTCATTGCTTGAGCTATTATGCTTGGCTGCGTTTTGAGTGAAATAATCTCGCAGGAGCCGTAGCGCCGGCGAACAGTCCTTTTCCTTGTTCAATTTGAAGATATCGATTTTGGTTTGTGCAGCAATCGTAGTCCAAAAGGAGTCATTTTTATTCGGAGTCTGTCTGTTGAGAAGTTGTAATCCGGATCCTCCTCCCTTTTCCTCTAATAATCTCCTCCCTTTTGGAGGAGAGCCTGCCAGCGATTAGTCCGCCGGCCTCAATAAATAGAGAAGTGGGAGGAGTAGGAGGGGCGCTTGTCGATCCAATAAGTTGCCATCCCCGATTTTGTTTTCTCTGGCGATTAGTCTGCTTTGTTGGGCCGATCTAAATAAACAGAGGAGCAGGAGGGCGGGGCATTCAATTAAGGGCAGATCAGGCGTCACAGATCTAATAGAAGACCTGATTAGCACAGGCGTCCTAACATCAACAAGACCAGTTGCTTACCCGATCAGCCATGACAAAGAAAAGGAGTCATCGCAGACGCAATGTAAGTGTTGTTTCTGTTGTGCCTGATTGATGTTTGTCGTTGACGTCAGGTACATCCTCAAAAGTCTGATTATTTGTTATTTTCCAGCTAAATGCAATGCAGAAAACAACTCGCACAGAAGACGCTGCTGTCAGTGCAAACGAAGACAGGCTTAGCAAGCTGCCGCATGACCTTCTGCTCAACATCCTGGAGAGGGTGGACACGCTCGATGCAATAAGGACCTGCATCCTCTCCAAGCAAATGCTTAAGCTCCCCACCATGCTCTCGCAGTTCTTCCTAAGTTGTAGTTCCATTCCAGGTTTCCAGGATAAAACTCGTGTTATCACCCCCAGTGACGTGCTTCGAACCAACAGTGTTGTGGCTCATGTTACGGATAACATCTTGAGCACAAGGAGCCAGGAGATCACCATCAGGAAACTCAAAATCAGATTCGTCTTGAGGGTACATGACTCTGTCAGCATTGGCAAATCTGTTGCCCGTGCCATGGCAACCCAGAAGGTTGGTGCAGCTGAATTTGAGGTCCTAACGGAGAAGCCTTATGAGTGGTGCTCTCCTGCAGATCTCCTCCATTGTGCACATCAGTTCAATGATTTTGTCGGTGCTTGTCAGGATGCATTTGCTGGCCTGAGGCGCCTGTGGTTGCGCAATATGAGGTTTAGTGAACTGGACATCCATAACATACTCAGCACTTGCAAGCTCTTGGAGTCATTGCGTTTAACCGATTGCGACTCAGGGATCCATTCTGTGCTGCAAGTAGAACATGGTGAACTTGTTGAGCTTGAGGTCGAATATGGAAAATTTGAGAGTGTGGAACTGATATATGTACCAAAACTCCAACGGGTGAGATATAAGAGTTGGTCCTCTTATAAAAATCCTGTGTATTTTGGTTTTGTACCACAGTTTACAAAGCTTAGCCTCAGTAAAACTGGTGTCTGTTTGGATAAGACTCTTCAGTTAAGCCAGCTTCTTGCTAATGTTCCTTCAATAAGCGATCTGCATCTGAATTTTGAAAGTGAGAAGGTACTTGCTAGTCATTTGAATCATATCTGTCCATTCTCACTGTATATATGATGGTTATACATGTACTCCCTCCGTCCCATAATATAAGAGTGTTTTTGACACTATTCTAGTGTCAAAAACGCGCTTATATTATGGGATGGAGGGAGTAATAACAAATAGTACTCTCTTTAATCCATATTAATTGTCGCTGATTTAATACAAAATACTAAATCAGTGATGATTACTATGGATCTGAGGGAGGACAGTTGACAATGTGATTTGAAACCAGCACTAAGTTTGTAATTTGTTCTGTCCCAGACTTGGGTCCTGCCAGAATGTCCGAAACTGCTCAAGCCTGTGCTCAGCAAATTACAGCACGTCAGTCTGGATCATCTTCCTGAAGGATGTGATTTAGCTTGGACAATGTTTATTCTTGAAGCTGCACCCTTTCTAAGAGAGCTGTGCATCACAGTATGGGACCATTGGTGCATCATGATGACAGACAAAGACTTTTGAAAGGAAAATGGCTACTGCGAAAAGGCAGATGTGAAGTGGAAGCCATATGACCCTGATTTCAAGCACAAGAATCTAGTTAAGCTCACCATCTATGGCTTCCAAGCCGACAACAACTTTGTGCGGTACATTAGGAGCGTCATGGTACATGCAGTTAATATGACAGAGATATCTCTTCATGACAGGAAGGTATGTGGGCGCTGTGGTACCTTGGGTCTCAAGGTTTGTCCATCAAACTATCCACGGACTGCCAAGAAGAGGGGGCAGATAATTGAGATGGTTGGTTTGGCTTCACAGCAACAGATCTACTTTCAGCCCTAATTGAAAAATGATTGGTTTTTCCATCAAGCTATGCATGAGATTCACCCTGTGCATTTCAAAACCGAACCGAAAAACCATACCGAAAATAAACCGAACCGAACCGATTTTATGGTTTTTATGGTTTCTGGTTTCGGTATGGTATGAACTTTTCATACCGATTTAAACTTTGGTTTTTATGGTATATACCGAAAAACCGAACGGTTAACCGAAAAAACCGAAGTAAAAATAAATTTATATTTCTTGAGATGAACAACCATACAAGTTGTCATTTTTCTTGTACATGAGTCAAATTCACTAATAAGCATGTAAAATTTTCTTGTAACATAGTCACTTTTCTCTTTTTAAAATGCTAAGCATGTCGATAACCATCAACAGATGAATTAATGCATGCATATATACTTATATATATAGTCATATACTATATGTGTAAAATAATATGTGTTTTGAGTCATAAATTTGCAAATTATTATTACATCATTTTCAAATTCGCGTCAACTTTGGTTTTTATGGTATATACCGAAACCATACCGAAATAATTTGGTATATACCGAAACTGAACCGTATTTTAATTTCATACCGTATTTACCGAAGTATTAATACCGTACAAACCGAAAAACCGTATAAACTGAACCATGTAAACCGAATAAACCGAACGCACAGGGTGACATGAGATGGTTGTTTGGCTTCACAGCAAGAGATCTACTTTCGGTCCTAATTGAAAAATGATTTGCGTGATATTTAAAAGATATGTATTTCGCAAATCATCTGCCCTGTCATCCTTTAGTTGAAGCAGTTCCTGAACTCCATAATTCTGTAGTTACTGAGTCTGTACTCTTGCTTTTCCTTAAACTGAAGCTCTGTATTATTGCCTAATCGAGGAAATATTTTAAGTTGGAACAACATATCCGTGGTCCCTTTTTTTAATGTAAAATTAAAATGCTTGATGCAATTAATGTTCTTCATCTTGATGCAATCTACTACATTAAAATGTGATACTATAGATACCATGATTAGATACTTTCAAGTAGGAACAAGATGTCTGTTGCTGCTTTGATGTAAGGGTGATGAGAGGGGTGAATTTGTACGTATAGCAGTGCTCATTTCATCCTGACTCGTTGCTAAGGATGTCTGTTGCTGCTTTGATGCAAGGGTGATGAGAGGTGTGAATTTGTACGTATAGCAGTGCTCATTTCATCCTGACTCGTTGCTAATTGACCTCAGTGGTACCACATTTAGTACTGTATGTATACTTGTACTACTTAATCTCTCTCTGAACATGTTCCCCAATTGTAATCAGGAGTAGTGTATGGAGGCAGAACACTTTTTTCCAAAGTTTAGCACAACTTGGATTTTTTTTTTCTGATCCAACCCTTTTTGTGACGTCATCCATCACGGCGTTTGAGTTGCATGGAAGACTCCGTAGAGTCAGGAGAACATCCATGCTGCGTTGCTGACGCCCAACAACAGAGAACCTCAAGCTCCTCCCTTTAGCTCTCGTGCCTCCTGCCGCCCAAAGGCTTCTTCAATGCCTAAATTTGTTTGATATTTATATGTCATATAATTAATTTGTTGGTTCTATCTCACATCTACCTATTATTATTTATTAGTAAGTACGTCCGTGAGTTGCTACGTGCTGCTGTGCTGTCCGGAGCATGGATCATAGAGGTTAAGAAGCTGCACTCATGTCTATTGACGCCGCCTACTTTAGCTGTACGCAGCCCTCGGGTGGAAGGGTTGTGGAATAGGAAGGGCGTACGATGAAGTTTGGTTGGGTGCTTTATTTTGGAATTTGAAACATATTCTTTGAGTGTAATTATTGCTACCATGAATGATACTCCCTCCGCTCCAACTAATAGGGAGTTCTAACTTTTTTCTTAATCGGATGTATATAGACATGTTTTAATGTGTTTCTTCACTCATTTTCAATTTGTATGTAGCCTATATTTCCTCGCATGGCGTAGCCTAAAAATGGCTGCCGCCACCACCACCATTTGCTTACCCCCCCTCGTCCTCCCACATTCAGCGCCACCATGGAGACTAAGTTACTGCCCCTCTCCACGCCCACACCCTCGAGCGTTCGGGACCGCACCACCGTCCACCGCTTCCGTTACCCCCCGCCCCCCCTTCATCCATCTGAGAGCCGCCTTCGCAGCTTCACCATTCTTCTCCGTGGCTGTATCTACCTGGAAGATCGCGCCGCCATCCAAAGTCGCCATCCATGGTCTTCACCGCCTCCTACAACACCGCCGCGCCTACCACCTCCAGGAAGGACATCGTTGCTGCTTGTCCGCAAGGTAGTCGGCCTCATCCTCTCTATTTTTTTGGCATTGTGCACTGTACTCCATGGCATAAATTGATGACCGTTTCTTCAAATGTACACTACAAATTTGATACAAGTGGTAGAAATTGGTTGTTTAGTGGTTGACATTCGATATGTTTGATAGCAGATTTATGAATATTTGCTCTATTTATGTATAATAACAATGTAGAATAGTTTTAGTTGTGCGTTATCATGTATGGTGTATGTGCGGGAAATCATGATCGTGTTTTGTGTTTTGGAATAAGCTGGCAATCATTTTTTTGATGTGACTATGTTGGCAAAAATAGTTTTCCAATTGTTTGCCATCGATATTTGGTGCAAGAGAAAGACAAGTTCTACACTGTACATGGTTCGATGTGGCTATTTATGAAGCTTTTGCATTTGTTACTTCTTGCAAGATTCTCTTTTTTCTCTATACCTATATGTTGCATTGATATAGAACACTAAATTGATAGATAATCATACAATTAAACAATGCCACGGTAGATAATTAACCTTCATGTGACAAGCTTTTAATAATGCATATAGTATGATGTTTACATCTACTGGACATATTATTCCAACAACCTAGGATTAAGCAACCCGCATAAAAAGGGCCTAGGCATAATTGGCTCGTTCTTTAGGCCTGGATGTAGCCTTTCACTTCTCTTGTTTTCTCTACATTGGTTTGTGCTTGCTCTGCTTAAGTGCTGATGTGTGCTTGGCTTCTTGCAGCTTGCAATGATCAGAGAGGAATGACATGTGTAGGAAGGGGGTAGCGACAGTCGGTAGGCTCACACTCGGACATGGAGTCTATAAGTTAGTTGGTCAGATACCATGGTATTAGATATCCTACTGCTAGAATAGCTTACGAAAATTATTTGTGATGACTTATATTTCTGTAGTTGTATTAGTTGGTAACCATCATGTGAAGGGTTACTTATATTTCTGTTGTTTTACTAACAAGGTTTCGAGAGAGGAATTGTTATATGGGGTTCAGATAAGGGAGATACACATGGTCTTCTTACAAAATTCCTTCTTTTCTCTGTATCTTTGGCATATAACAAAAGATTTGACAAATTTAAGTCATTTGCTTTCGTGTTCGTGATACTTGCTTTGGCGCTCATGATATTTTAGTGGACTTCTGTTTTTTTGGTAGTTGTCCTTGTTACTCCTCCGTTAATAAAATCTGGACAACGCCTACAACAGGCTGGTTTGTCATTGGTGTCTCTGCTTTGCTTGGTAGCTCCACATCCAATATTTTTGTTATTGGCATTTATTTTTCAGAAATCACGTTGATCTAAGAAAGTTATAAGTAGCCCAGTACTAATAATTTTGTATGTATGTATTGTTGGGAAACGTTGCATGGAAAACAAAAAAAAATTCTACGCACATGCAAGATCTATCCATGGAGATGCATAGCAACGAGAGGGGGAGAGTGTGTCTACGTACCCTCGTAGACCGTAAGCGAAAGTGCTTGACAACGCGGTTGATGTAGTCGAACTTCTTCGTGTTCCAACAGATCGAGCACCGAATGTACGAGACCTCCGCGTTCAGCATGCTTTCAGCTCGATGACGTCTTCCGCCTTCTTGATCCAACAAGAAGGCGAGGTAGTGGATGAGTTCCGCCAGCATGACGGCGTGATGACGGTGATGATGAAGCTATCTCCGCAGGGCTTGCCTAAGCACTACGAAAATATGACCGGGGGTGTAAACGGTGAAGGGGGGCGCCG